TCTAAACAGCCATGAACTCTTGGACATCTGAGTAGTCCCATTGACTTCAATGGAACTACACCTCTACTCCGATATAAAGCTACCCGATATAACACGAATTTGGATATAATGCGGTAAAGCAGTGCTCTGGGGGGGCGGGGCTGCGCACTGCAACGGATCAAAGCAAGTTCAATATAACGCGGTTTCACCTATAACGCGGTAAGATTTTTTGGCTCCCGAGGACAGTGTTATATCGGGATAGAGATGTACATATGGCTGTGTTTGCAGGATTGGGCTGAAGGGCCTGATCCAAAGCCCACTGCAATCAAAGGAGCTCTTCCATTGTAATCACACTGGGGCAGACACTAACTTCTATATATTTGTACAGCACCTAGCACACTCTGGGTTGCTATGAACCAATTATTTATTATTAATTATGTAGATAGTAAGATCTTTGGGGGCAGGAACTGTCTTTTTGTTCAGTGTTTGTATGATGCCTAGCCCAACTGGGTCTTCGTCTACGGCTAGGGCACCTAAGAGCTACAATAATACAATTAATGATAACAAATTATGAATAACAATAGGCAGTAGGAGACCTCTCTTTACTTATAATGATGGACTCATCGAGTGGTAAAATTCTACAGATCATTGTCAGGTGTATGATAGGACACAGCGACTAATCTTCCAATTAAACTGTAAAAGCTACATTGTGCTTTCCTGTGCTCGTGTGAATTTTGAAGACAGAATCTGACCCTAATTGAGCCCTGTGGAACTCTGCACACAGCTTTTTATAGACCATATGCCTCAAAGACTAATCTACAACACTGTGGAAGACTGACATGTTCAGGTGGCAAAACATTAGAATGCACAACAATATTCTTACAATCACTCGGTTCATCAGTCCTACTGTTTGTGGCTGTTTCGGGTGCCATTCTGAGCAATTTTGAAATTATTAGCAGTCTAAGTAATATTGTTTTGCATAGGAATTCACAGTGTAAGGCTCTGGCAAAAAGAAATAGTGAGGCAAATTAAAGTTAATTCTCTCAAATGTTTTAGCTGAATGATTTTATTTTCTTAGTGATGACGAGGAGCACTACAGTTGAGCTGATTCAAGTAAGGGCAAGAAACAAACGTGTAGGTCTTTTGAACAGTCACAGCCATGTGAGTTTGGTCACATCATCTCCCTGCCTCATTCCACTCTATACGCATTTCAAATTCGCCATTAAACTGGCAGAGTGATTTCTAAAGCAACCCAGGCCTGCAACAGCAGCGAAGATTGGACTGCAAGTTACAAATGAGGTGTAGTGGCAGAGCTGTGTAGGAAACCACACAAGTCTCTCATTTTCATGGGCAGTAAATTCACTCACAGATTTAAAAAAAACCCAAAACCACAGGTCTGCTTTTCACAGTTTATAAATATTCACAGCCCCATTCAGGCATGGGAACCATTTTTAATTTTGAAAACTGAATTTAAAAAACATGACCTGCTGGCCCTTTATAGTCTGAAGAGTAAAAGCAAACATGGTGATGCTTCTGTAACAAGGGAATTAAGCATGGTGATGACAGAGTATTATTACTCTTACTGCTGCAGTGTTGACTGCTTTTTATTACAATAGTTCCCCAGATTAATGCATTTTATCTGCAACACATGGGGAATATACAAACTGACAGAGCTGTAATCATTTCTTTTGGAAGCACAGGGTTCGATGAATGGGGACAAGTGTAAATAAAATCACTAGGAAAAGATAAAGCTGGCTCCGGATCAGACTTAAATAAGAGCATGCCAAAACATCAAATGAAAGATAGGAGCTCTCTAGATTAAAAATACCCTATGTAAAAATGATGCTTTATGAAGTAAAATCAGAATGTCTGCTGTTATGCATATTTTTTGCTTGAAATAAAATGCTGTTTGTGAAGGTAGGACAAGGTGGGCGCGGTAATATCTTTTATTCGGCCAACTTTTGTTGGTGAGAGAGACATGCTTTCGAGCTTACATAGAGCTCTTCTTCAGGTTTGTGAGGGTGTGCATTTTGTATAACACTTACTATTTGTTTGTATAACACTAACATTCCACTAGGACAGGGGTGGGCAAACTATGGCCCTTGGGCTGGATTCAGCCTGCCAGCCGTTTTAAGCTGGCCCTTGAGCTCCCGTTGGGGAGCGGGGTCTCGGGCTTGCCCCCGCTCCAATTGGGTGCAGGGTTGGGAGCTGCTGCTTGTGGAAGCTGCTGCATGGCCCCGCTCTGGCACTCCAGCCAGGTAACAGGGTCGGGGGCCGCTCCACGCAGCTCCCAGAAGCCACGGCATGGTCCCTGTCCAGCGCTTCAGCCAGGGAGCAGGGTCGGGGGCCGCTCCATGCGGCTCCAGGAAGCCACAGCATGGCCTCCCTCTGACTCCTATGCGCGCCAATGGCCCTGCTCCAGTGGCCCACTCTGGCGCTCCAATGGGAGCTGCAGGGGCAGAGCCTGTGGACGGGGAAATGTGCAGAGCCGCCTGGCCACACCTCTGCGTAGGAGCCGGAAAAGGGACATGCTGCTGCTTCTGGGAGCCCCTTGAGGTAAGTGCCGCCCGGAGCCTGCACCCCTGCCCCAGCCCTGATCCCCCTCCCGCCCTCCAATCCCCTTGATCCCAGCCTTGAGCACCCTCCTGCACCCCAAACCCTCATCCCCAGAGCCTATACCCCCAGCCAGAGCACTCAGCCCCCCCCGCACCCCAACCCCAATTTTGAGCATTCATGGCCCGCCATACAATTTCTATTCCCAGATATGGCCCTCGGGCCAAAAAGTTTGCCCACTAAGACAAAGGCCTAGCTCCAAAGAACCCACAATCTAACTAGCCATCATACAGAACAAGGTGGGAAAGGGATATGATATCAGCAGTGAGATTCAAGGGTGAAGTAAAGCACATCTTCCTACTTCCATAATTGCATGTGCATACATAGAAATATCTTTTTCAGTAGACTGAGAAAAGCTAGTCACAGAACAATTTCACTGTAGGCAGAAGGTTTGCTAGAACGGAAACGCCCTTTGCTCATTACAAGACAATGAAACAACTGTGCACTTTCAATCCACAGCATAACCTAGAGTTGCCCTTTTTGTGAGTAGGAGAGGCTAAGTGTAGTCATTGTGCCAGTGGGGTCAAAAACATTAGTAAACTGTGATGCAAGATTGCTTTGAGTGAAAAAAATATTTGCTTCCAACACTCGTCTTCATACTATCATATATTGTCATCTTGAATTGCATCAAAATATAATGCTACTGTAATCTGCCACTGACTACAATACAATATGATAAAGCATCAAAATATCTGGTCCTATCGATTCATCTGGATGCTGCAATGCTATTTCATCATATTGTGTCAAAATATAGTGATGCAATGTCACATGATTCATGGGCCTTTGCCATGCCACAGATAATCCCAGAAAATTATGCTGACCCACTAAGTGGTTGCTGATTTAGAAATCCACTGATAGAGTATTGGATAGAGTGATGGGCTTGCGGCATGTGTACCACTGCCCTCTACTGGATGGACTCAACTGCGTGTAATAAACCTGTTCCTACAAAGAATTAATGGAGATTTTCCATTAGCACAAGTGATAGGGGCCTGTACTTTCGCATCAGGAACCAGCTGGGATTTATCCTTCTGTTATAAAAAGTTTAGAAAGTCAGTGTTGGAAGCACAGTGATAAGTAGGAAGACTCAGATCCATAAAGGAACTTAGACACCTGAATCCCAATTTTAGGTTTCACTGCCACCCACAAAATTCCTTCTTGGCTGCCACCTAACCTTGTAGGTGCCTAAACTTATTTGGCACCTAAATTCCTCCCTCTGGGCATGTGCACTGCTGCCTCATATGCTCAGACACCTATGTCCTGCCTAAGCCCCCCTGTGAGCCACAAACGGGAAAATAGGTGTTTTCCTGCCTATCCAGTAGGCGGCCTCTGAGCACCCCTACAGGATCAGGTCCCATTCAAAATCTGGCAAAGGGAGGAGGTGGCACTGGTGCCCACCTTATAACTGTGAAGATGCTGTAATAAAAAGTAACTATTTAAATGATTTGCTATTGTGTATTTAACAGTTTAAAATAATGTTTCATTTAAAAAAAAAGTTTGTTTTGTATTATACAATGTATTTGCAGAAGGCTCCTAGTAGTGTGTTTGAGATTTTGACTGCATTTTCACTGGAAGACTCTACCTGTGTAAGCTCCAAAGGGTCAGACATCAAGTTAATAAATATATATTTCTGGAAAACAAGCCCTATATTTAAAGGTGTAACAAATCCACGACAGCTCTGATGAGGTTAAAAGCTGTCATCATCCAATGGATGTTTGATGGGCCATATTTGCGATGAGTGTGGTTGGTTTTAGCTCCCATATCCCAAACTCATCACTGTGCTTTGCACTAATTGGAAGACTCAGTAGAGGTCAAAACCTGCATGCACCATGGAGCCTGAACTACATTGAAATGAGATGCATTCAAATCACGTTCACTGCATGGGGGTTCCACTCTGGTGAAAAACACTACTGCAGCTCAGCTACCTCAGACTTCACATCTGGAAATTGCAGTGCCATTAGAACCACCTGTATTAGGTGCACAGCTGGGAAACGACATTGCACCTAATAAAGTAGCTACACTGTATTATACACAGAACTGTCCTGATATACCCTCTGCCTGTGCAATGGACTCTTGGAGGGCTGCCTAAGGATTCTACCCCTTTAAAAGCCCCTGTATCCAACAATCACGTGGTGCTGTTAGACTCCTCCACCCCTGCTCCTTCTTTGCGGCTCTGTAGTCCCTTGACAAGGGTGGCAACGTTGGTCAACCGGGCTAACGGCTACGAAGAAAACTACAAATCCCATCGAACGCTGCGAAGCGAGATGACATAACCGACCGCTCTCGGTTGGACAGCGCAATGCGCGCCGGGAGTTGTAGTTCCATCCCCTCCTGCCGCTAGGATGCGATGCCGAAGTGGCCGCAGATTACGACTGCATTTCCCGGTGTGCTGCGCGGCGCGGGTTCCCGTCAGCGCAAGGGGGAGCCCCCCGACGTAAAGGGGGATCACTTTCCCCTTGTGTCCGCCATATTGGACGGTAACTCTGGTCAGCGGCGCTGGGGCCAAGGGAGTCCCCGTTACAGTGACAGTTCGTGCGCCCCTGCTCCTCGGTGCCCGGGGCGGCCTGTGCCCCCGCCTTACCCGCTCCCCCTTCCGGGCGCTGACGGCGGCTCCGACCTCCTCGCTGCCCCCTCCCTGCCCGGGTGTCAGACACGATGAGTCCGGCCGACGCCAAGCGAGGAGCCAAGCGCAGAAAGAACAAGCGGGGCGGCGGCCTCGGCAGTACCGGCGGCCCCGGACCCAGCGGCGGCGGCGGCGGGGCGGGAGGCCTGAGCAAGAGCGGGGCCGCCTCGGCATCGGCCGCCCTGCGGGCTCCAGCCCAGGCGGTGGCTGCCACGCCGAGCGTGGTGGGCGGCCTGCTGACAGCGCCGGCAACGGCCACCGGCAACGGAGCCCTGAGCGGCGGCGCTGGAGGGGCCGGGGCGGGACATGGCGAGGTGAGGGGGGGCGCTTCGGGGGGAGGCCTGGCCGCACCCACCCCCTCCCCGGGAGCAGGGGCCGCCGCCCCTGGGTGGGGAGCCCCTAGCGGGGTTCGCTCTCCGGCCGCAGTGACAGGCATCCCGCTGCAGCGGAGCCCCGCGCACGCCAGCGGGAGGAGGGATGGGGGCGTTGGGCAGTCATCCACGGTGACGGGGAGAGCCCCCTTTGGCCGGTTCGCAGCCCCCCAGCAGCAGGGAGCCCCGGGGTGTTGTCTGCCCCTCATCCTGGCAGCGAGGATGCGGGGCTGGGCACTGTCCTTTCCCCCCACCCCACAGGGCAGGGCGCTGCAGCCTGATCCCTGGCACGTCCTGGATGGGGAGGCTCGGGGAGTAGTTTGAGCACAGGGCTTCCCATGCCAGGCATCCCATCTTTCTGCGTCCCCAGGGCTTGTGCTGAAGCTTGTGGGAGGAGGAGCGAGAGAAGAGGTTTGAGGCGTTGCCACCTAGGGCACATGTTATCTCCTTAAAGTGAAGTTCCCTTTTCTCCGAAAATATTTTCATTGAAAAGTTGCATGTTCGTTGTTAGTGGGATTGCAGGCTTGCATATTGAGCTGCTGAAACAATTTGGGCATGTTTGCTCAGTTTTACTAGTTTCACTTTAGTGAAGTTTATTGTAAGTATATTATATTGTGCAATGACACCTGTCTTAGGTGATTGACCAAGGGTCAAGCAAAGATCAGTTAAATTATTGATTTTTTTTTTTGTAGAGAGAGAGAGATTCTGTTGTCAAAACTAACAAGACAGGAACAGAGGGAGGTTGACTTTTTTTCCCTTTTCATTAAAGGTTGAACAGATATTTGTTGAAAAGTGCACTAAGGTTAGATTAGGTGCCCCAGTTACGGGGGGGTTGCCTATTGGCAGTGTCCTTATTGCAGGTTTCAGTATATATCTCATTTGTCACCTTCATCTTCCTTCTCCATAAGGAAATTGTCAGACACATGGAGGAAGAAAGAAGAAATGGTTTCTGTGGTGTGAGAGGAATCCAAAGTACTTAATGATGTAACCAACTGGATTTTAGTTTTGTGTGTGGTCTTATCTCCTGTTTGTTTTGCTAGGGCAATGAGAATTCATCAGTGATAAATATAAACTTATTTTCTTTAAAACCACAGCAACCTTGCCCTCCTTCCTCAAAACCCCCCATCCAGCATCAGCTGCAACTTAGCTTCATAGCTGTCATAACTATCATGCTAATGCAGTATTTATGTCAAACATAATTTCCATTTGGAACAATAGGCGCTAACATAACTTGTGAATATTTACTTGTCAATTTTACTGCTACATTGAGAGGATGCTGTCAAACTCTATTGTTATCCTAGAAAATAGCTAATGATACGCTGAAGTTCAATTTAAAAATCAGTATAACACTTTAATAGAATGCAGGTGCTTCAGGGGCAGTGTCTGTCTACTATAGTGCCTAGCTCAATGGAGCCCCAATGTTGGCTGGTCCCTAGGCACTGTGGTAATATATGTGATTGGTAATGCCCTGGGGAAAATGGAGCAACATGGTAGATTGAAGTGATTCAACCAATGAAGTGGTTTACTGTCCCTGATAACTTGGGTTGTCTATAGATTGTGCATCTGCAATATGCAGAGTCCAGAACAATATTTTGCAAGTGACTTTCTTAAGATCATAACTGACTAAGAGATCTCTTGCAAAAGCTCATCCCAGGAGGACAGAATCGGTTGGCCATCCTTCCACTTAAGGGCTGCCTTTAGATTTTAGACTTAATAGTTGTCATTTATATGTCTCACTTTTAAGATAGACCACCATCTCTTTGAAATTGTACAGAATTAAAACTTTAAATAATTGTGAAAACACTTTCACATGTTACTGTATGCCCTCATTCATAGTAGAGAACTTAAAATAATTTGTATGCCCTTAAATGAGAGAGTACTGTATTATACAAGTCATTATTTTGTAAGTCAGTTCCACATATGACACATTTATTTTACTACTTTTGCTTGTACTTTTAAATATACTCACAGGTTATCAACTGTTGCAATGTTTTCACAACATTTGATGAACAGTATGTTACTAATGATTCTGCAAGCTGGTTGGCAAATATCAATTGGACCAACTAGTTAAGTTGGAAGTAAACTCATGAGACTGGATTTATATATACAAGGTAGCAAACGTTACAATTGGTTTATGAGAGCAAGCAGATAATCTACTATGCCATATTACTGAAAGCCACATATAGTTAATACTACATTTGAACACTGATAGATTTTATATTGGCTCACTTGCCTCATGTCATATATACTGATGTTTTTCTTGACACGTTAAACATTTTTTTATTGTGGTGATGCAACAAAATTACCAATACTTTGTCATTTAATGCCATAGTTGTTTCAAGCATATAAGCTAAGATAACTTGACATTTTCTAAATGTTGCCCTTGCTCCAGAATGTAATACTCTAAATCAGGGGTAGGCAACCTATGGCACGTGTGCCGAAGGCGGCGCACAAGCTGATTTTCAGTGGCACTCACACTGCCTGGGTCCTGGCCACCCGTCCGGGGGGCTCTGCATTTTAATTTAATTTTAAATGAAGCTTCTTAAACATTTTAAAAACCTTATTTACTTCACATACAACAATAGTTTAGTTATATATTATAGACTTATAGAAAGAGACCTTCTAAAAACGTTAAAATGTATTACTGAGACGTGAAACCTTAAATTAGAGTGAATAAATGAAGACTCGGCACACCACTTCTGAAAGGTTGCTGACCCCTGCTCTAAATAGTTAACCACTCTGAAACTAAAGAGTACAGGACCAAGACAAGATTTGTGATCTTCATTCACTGGGGTGATGACTTACCATGAGTTGCTTTCCTTCGCCACATAACCCAGAAGCTCTGTATACCTTTCATGAATGACCTGTACAAATCAGGTGCATTATTTATGTTGGCTGCGTGAAAAGAAAATGCCATGCACGTATCTCTACGGTCGTAACCAGATTTGCATTACTTTCATCTTGTACAAAATGTTGCTGAGTGTCTGTGAGGTGGTATGAAAAATCAAAAGCCATTGTTCTAATTTACAAACTTTAATGGCTTCTGATCTCTCAGAATATATATTATAAAATCCTGTTACTGCTGACTGCTTAGCTGGGACTGCACCCCAGAATATAATGTAGTCAAGTTGCTAGCCCACTAATGCTTCTCTGTGTCAGTTGTGTGCCCCTCATATTAGGTTCTCCATTGTTGGAAAGACTATTGTTATGTTGCTGAACTATGGCGAACCCTCCCATTAGATTTCTATTAGTGTAAACTCCCTTTAGAATACATAATTAGATTTAACCTACACTTTAGAAAATTATTTTTTTTTAAAGGAATGGCAGCTTGTATCCTGCATATTTGTTATGTGCAAATCAGTTGCTAATTATCTGGTGATATATTGATAAAAGATGTTTTATAAGCAAAGTTGGATTGAGTTTTAAAATACATCCAATTTTATATTTCCAATTAAAAAGCCCTTTTCTTAATTTTCAGATTCTAGCTAGGATTTTCATTGCTAATGAACATCATAATTAAATTGAGATTTTTATGGTTCTTAGCCTAAGATTCTCATTTCCGTTTAGTTTCTGCATTAAATATATTGTTCTGTGATACAAGCAAGCAATTCTTTTAAAAAAATCATATGGGAAGTTACTCTTTTGGCTCTATTTACATACTTGAAAACATCAGAATTCCTGTCTTCTAAACAATATTCTGCAAGTGTTCTACAGAAACTAAAGATTCTTCGCTTGGTGTTCCTCTAGTAAGGAAACTTGTTGGTGACACTAGTTTAACTGGAATTGGAAGCTACACTATTTACGCTTGCGGGGTAGGATCATAAGACTTTACATATATCTTTGTAATGATAAAATATGGCTACTGGGGATAGTGTTATGGGATGGAGAATAAAGTGTCACATTAAAACAGAATAATTTTTGATCTGAAGTTTGAGCGCATAGACCAGGCATTTTTAAATTTAATATTTCATTTATTATGTGAAAAGAAAAGTGAGCGTTTTTTAAAATGTGATTATACTGTGTTCTGTGATGAAATATTAAGATTTGGATTAATGGTTGGAATTTTGATTGAATCTGGGGATGTATTTGGAGTTGCTTTTTATGGGTCTCTGCACAATACAGGATTCTGTGGTGAGGAAACAAGTTGTAAAGTTGGCTTTGTGTGATAGCTTGCCTAGGTAGCTGGGTGTGAAGAACTGTTTGTCTATGACTGACCTGTTCCAGTAGACCTTTTACGTTCTCTCATCATCAAAGGTATTGATGGATCCTTCTTTAGAATAGGCTGGCTCTTTTGGTTTGATTAATTCAGCAACTGCAGTCCAGTGCCCATGACTTGGTTACTTTCATGGTAGTAATATTGCATGCATTGGATTGTGGCATTACTGAATGATTTAAACAGGCAGAGGAAACTGGTTACAGAGGAGGCAGTTTTTATTCTTATTGAAATCTAAATTTTAGCTAGCACTTTTCCTTTTGTTCTGTTACTTTTTTCTTTTCTTTTTTGTGTAAGGGTATATATTATTTTTGATCTACTTTATCCAGTGTAAAGTAGACACTTTCCTATTAAAACATATAGGTATATTGGGTATTGAGACACTTCTGTAGCAGTTCACTTGTGCACTTAACTTCAGGCTCTGTGTTTTTATTTTGTTATTTAAATGCAGACTGTCCCTGCTCTAAAGATCTTACAGTCTGATAATAGTAAATACATTAAACAGAATGGAATCATTAGGATGGGTTTTTATAGCTTACGTTGTTAAATAGACTTGTGAAGTTAGAAACAAAATCCACTGTAGTCTAAATTATTTTTAACTCTTCCGATCACTTGAAATTTCAAAACAAGCTTAATGTCCCCTTTTATACTGACATAAGAATGGCCATACTGGGTCAGACCAAAGGTCCGTCTAGCCCAGTATCCTGCCTTCCAACAGTGGCCAATGCCA